CTCTAACGCACGTGTGACTGACACAGCAAAATGGTCTTATGCAAGGAGTATCGCATTTGCATGCCGCTCACAGTAGAAGAGGTAAGTGTGGACTGATTATTAAATATTGTGCTGTTCCACAGTTTGTACTTTACCCTTTTCAATGTATGTACATATTTGAATAATGCATCTGTTATTCTTTTAGTATCGTATCGGACAGCTGTATATGATTGCGCGCCACAGCTTGGAACAATCGGGTGATGGCGAAGGCGTTGAAGTTGTGGAGAGCTCTGAATGTGAAGATCCTGATCATGGCAAAGGCCAATATACAGAAAAACGCATACATTTGTCAAGGTGAGAGGGAAGAGGTGCTTATAGTAAATACGTGATAGTGTTAAATAAATAATATAACTCATATAACTCATTTCCTAATTTTTCTCTATAGCCGGTTACCATATTGGGTACAATCGGTTTGCCCGCGTGTTTTTTATATCACAGAAAAATCTTGGAATTACTACCCATTCACAATTACAGGTAACGGCTGAAATGCCCAAGTCATCATTCATATTTATACAACATTCATAATTTTCCAATATATATTTTTTCTACTTAAGTTTTTTCATAGTTTTGCCATTTAATTAAGACGCATTCATTATCTTTTTATTTCATCGTTTGTTTTTACGGCCAGTATGCCATTAATAATCCACCCAACCACCTGTCGGTTGTAACGTACATAAGCATCTACATACATACATAGTATATATGCACATATTTAGTTATACATAGAAATACGTGGATAGTACAATTATAGTACAAATATTAAATGCTACCCTCCCACTCATTACCTCTTTTTTTCACGCTATTCATCCGCACCAAAGTGTTTGGCATATTAAATTGTTTGTATTTTAGTTGAATGATGCGCTAACAATTTAATAAATATACTTATGAGCTTGCGCATTTTAATTCCGTTACAAATTCCAAATTTTAAATAATTAATAACACTTGCATCATTCCCATTAAAAACTTCCTATTCCTAGGTACACGATAGTAAATTCTGTTTTTAAACAATACTTGATAATCACGAAGGGCATTCATTGCATGCTCATTTAAAAATAGCTGAAACTCAATACTTATAACTATGGAGGGGGCTCGCGTGTTTAAAGCTTTAAATAGCAGTAATTCGATACAAACGTGTGTCATAACATTTCCTGATACAGGTGTTTCAAACACTTCCTTGCCTTTAGTTCCGGTAAATTTGTATTGCTTTGGCACTGCCGACGTTAGCTAAACACGCAAAATGTGGGTGGTATGTCGGCGCCATTTTTACACACTTTTTGCCCTAAACTGTTGGGTGCGAATTGGCACATTTATGCGTCCCTAATCTGTATCGTTTGAGACATTCTGCCGGAAGTTTGCATTTATTTACATACATATCGTCGTTTAAAGTACAAAACCGCGTATCAAGAAAATTCCAAGATTTTGTAGGAGAGATTAAGGCTAGTCCTATTTCAAAACGATTTTCTCTTTTATCCCTAATTATCTCTTCTTCTTATATCTAATTATCGATATTAGGGATAAATGGATTAGGGCTTGATGCCAAGAGCTTCCGGTGAGCAAATATTTTTTTGACACAGTTGTCAGTTACGCGGTTTTGCAGAATGACGATTCGCGGTTTTGTACTTTAAACGACGATATGTGAATGACGCAGCATCTGTCGCCTGCCTGAATGCGCTCTACAACAATTAATTGCATGCAATATAAATATACATAAAAAAACTATACATCCCAGGGCTTATCGCGCACAAACACTTGTGCACAAATGTTTTCATTTTCTTCTCTTAGATATGGTATTAAAACGCTTTCGTTTTTAATGAAGCTAAAGTGCATAAACTACATAAGTACGCAGTCAAAAACAGTGTCAACAAACTCACAATTGATATGAGTCGGCATGTTTACATTCAAAGACATACATACAATACAAAATAATTGATTACACTAGTTTACAAATATTTAATTAATGAATTGTAACTCTTCATAGTGATATTTTTGTAATTTAATTTGGTTTTGCAGAATACAGATATGTGTGTATGTAGTATGTGCATGTATTCATATACAACACATAAGATAATTTAGTAAGGGCTTGTTAAGTGAAGCCATTCTAAAAATCTTACCCAAAAGGGACCGCTTGGCTGCATGTCTTCTAGGAGCACTTTTCCTATTTAGAATTTCCGCGAGAGTTTAATTATATTCAGCCTTATCATGTGTTTCATTTTCCCCGAACCGGTTCACTTTTCACTCTTGGTTTCCATGGTTTTACTATGGGCGGATGACAAATTTTCGGGTGATTTTTTTTTTCAGGCGAAACTCAGGAGAAGGCAGATTATTTAGCATTTTAAATGAATTTAATTATGCATACTAAATTAGAGAAGTATTGTTTTTATGAATTAAAGAAGCAACTTCAGAAGAACTCCTCCAAAATGCCTTCTGAAGTTCGTCCTTCAAGAGCCCTTTTGGAAGCCCTTCTATGGTTTGCGAAAGCAGAAGTCCTTCAATTTGTGTTACTCCCTACAAAACAGATTAAAAGAAAGAAATGCAAGGTGGAATATCAGGAAGGCCTTTTAGAAAGGCTGTTAGCTCCTGTATCATACGAAGTTTTAGAGATAGAAGCTTTCTGGTTCCTTTTGCAGTTATTGTTGAAAAAAAAACCAGAAAAATTTATCATATTATTCGCCAGCGTTCTGTAATCATTAAATTTTTTTGTAAACTAGTGTTATTGAACAGCATTCATATATGCACAGCGCGGCACTTAGTTGTTAAGTCGCTTATTGCCTACATTTTATCAGGCACTTAATATCCACTAACTGTTTTCCTATCACTGACCCATTATCAGTGTACAATAACATTGTTTAGTGTATAATATATAACTCCTAGCTAGCGCGAATACTTGTTCATGATAAGCTGATGTTAATTAAGTTTTTTTTTGCAAATGTTTTCGTAGAGTGAATCGGCGATTAAATGCACAAAAGTATGGACTTGCAATAAACTATATGCATATAGCACACTACGAACGTCGTTGTTGTTGTTGAAGCAACGCGCCACTCGCAAACCAATTGTTTTAGGGTTGCGCTGAAATATGGGCCATAGTTATTTCTGCCATGGTTCTGAAACACCACTGTACGGGTGCTTCTTTGCCCCATACTGATCAGTTTCCTAAAAATGAAATATTGCTAGTTACAAGTATATCTGACTATGAGTATACTCTACACGAGGCGGTTTAAACCAGCCAGATCGGGCCTTTGAACTGAGTTTAAACCACGGCCGTGCACTGAAAAACTGGTTCTAAACGTAATATTCAATACTAGGAAGGTTCTTAGCTGGAAATGGCCCGATTTGGGAGTGTCTACCGGCAAAGACAGCCGCCATACTTTGTTTTTTTTTTCTTAAGTTTGTTCTGTGGCCATTTTTACATATTGCACGTTTGCTGGAAGAATGTCATAACTCAAAATATCGAAATGACGAGAAGACCGGTTTTAAAGTTTTAGTCAGATTTTTCGTTTTGAACAAAAATGAATAAAAACCCAAAAAGTTTATTAAACGTAATCGTAAAATTTAATCCTGAGTATAAAGCTCACATCAGACCTTGAGTCTAATTATTGTTACTAAGCGAAGTGGAAAAGAACAAAATTTCAAGAAAAATAAACCCCCTCTCATAAGACCCATTTGGCCGTCATTTTCTGATCGTTAACTAAAAAAAATGCTTGGGTTATGACGTTCTTCCTGAACACGATGGTTTCTTTCATTTCATATTCATTCCGCACTCTATTGCATCTTCATCATATACATACCTCCCTTGTTTTGCCCTATTTTAAGAAATAATTTATTTAATTTTTTCCATGCTCGTACACCTGTTTTAACGTCTTACGCCAACTATAGAATACACAGTAAGTATAATTGGATAAATTCACCTCAATTAGTCTAAAAATAAACTCGTTTGTTCTATATACATACAAATGTACATACATACTTGCAGTGTTCCTTTGTGCCCATGTTGAGCATATCAATCAAAACCAAATACGAAAATAATAATGGCTGTTCAGAAAATGTAAGTATTATTAGCTTTAAATTAGGTATTAAAATGTATTTAAAGGTGTATTTTTACCCCCATTACAGTGCCTTGGCCTCAGCAAGGAAGAGCTGCAGACACGTTTACTAGAGGAAGTTGATATTGCTTTCGATGTGCTCTCCAACCAAAATCATTACAAAAAAGAAGAAGATCCAAAATTTTTCAAATCGGAGAAAACAGGTATGTAATTATTTCAATATCTGCTTAAATTATCCTAATTATACATACATTTGCCTTCACCCATTAACAGGTCGCGGTCCACTCATCGAAGGTTGGCGCGGCGATACTAAACCCATTATGTGTTCCTACAAGCTGGTGAATGCTTCCTTTGAAGTTTGGGGTTTCCAAACAAAAGTCGAAGACTTCATACAACGCAGTATACGCGACGTGCTATTGCTTGGACATAGACAGGCTTTTACATGGATTGACGAATGGTATGGCATGACGTTGGAAGATGTTCGCGCGTTTGAAAAACAAAAACAAGCTGAAACAAATGAGAAATTAAAAGTAGCCGGTGATAACTAAAGCGATGAACACAAAAAATGTAACAGATTGTTGAAGCAGAACAGGGGAAAGGGGGAAGTGGGCGTGAGTTTCAGTAGGAAGCTCAAATAAAATATATATGTATAAGAGTAGAATAGAGGTAGAGAGTTGTGCAGCGGGCATTAAAAGTCATAGCATAGAATACAGTCTGTATAAACAAAGCTTAATGAAATCTCAAAAGCTTCATTAGCCGTAAAATAATACACAATATAATTACTCAGGAAACATGAAAATATCTTCTAAATATTGAGCTTAGCCCTTATAGTCATGTTATGTAAAGCAAATTGTTTCAAATTACTTTTATATATACATACATACATATGAACCGTTTATTTTGAAAGTGGCATAACTGAACGTGACGGGTTTTCGTTCAACTTCATCAAGCAAAGGTAAAAGGTTTTTTTCATTAGTTTATGACGATAGGCCGATTTACAGATGCGTTCGGTTACAAGTAGCCCCCGTCACTTAAGCACAGGAGGTACGAAGTGGCTAATGCCACTTTCAAAATAAACGGCTCATATGTTCATATTTGTTGTTCAAAAACAAAAAAAAAAACGTTTAAAAATATGCCCACTTAGCTGCACGCATTTATCAACAAACAATTTTTTCTGCTTCTGCAAAACTAGTTTTGAAAGCGGAGAACTGCTATTTTTGAGTTATTTTTACTCTATTCCTAAAACAAATACTTTTCTTAGCCAATTTAGAGCGTTATGTAACAAAAAAAAAGTTTATTTAAAAGAATGCACACTTTTATGTTTGTATGTGCATACTAATTATATGTGCGCAATTAGTAAATACCAACTACTAATCTTGTACAAAGTTCAATTAATTTACCTCCAAAAACACACAAGAATTGAAAGAAAGTGTATTTAATAAGACACAAATACAAAGACATACTAAAAAGAACTCAACCTTAGTTTCAATAAAGAAGAATAAGTAAAACTTCAGAGTTTAGAAATACATAACAAACTAGAATTGATTGGAACGGAGTTGTGGGTGGCCGGATTGTACTGAAGGCCTAAGGAGGGGATGTAGAAGTTGGGGATATATAAGTGGGCCGTTCTCAATACATCCGCCCCATAAAATATACCGTCAAGTCTGCCGAACGCCGAACAGCGGCAGATAAAATGTTCTGTTCTATCCTCATTTTCCAAACAAGATGTACACAGTGAATCGTCGATGATACCCACGGTGGACCTAAGTCGTCGTCATGAATTGTCCCTCGTAATCACGATGCCTAAGAAGGAATTTTGCCTCCATCCTGTCAGGCCTTTTCAGGAGACACTTGGTTGATTTGCGGCCTCCATATGTACTACACCAAGAGCTCGAATGAGTTTTATTAATGAAATCCTTGAATTGGCTTTGGTCCCATTGGACGCACCAGAGAACTGCAGTTCGCAAATTCATCAGCCAGTTCGTTGCCTTGAACACCACGGTGTCCTGACACCACACACGTTGAAGCTAATTCCATTTTTCAACGGAGTTCAACTTCAACTTACATTCATAGACTATGTTTGAAGATACGCGAGCGGTTTCCTAGGCTTTTAGAGTAGTTCGTTGTCACTGCAGACTCTGATTTTATGTTATGGTTCTATGCCAGCATACTACATCAGAGTACGTGATGATAGGTCTGACTAAATCTATGAATATCCAGAATACCATAATCGGTCTCAGACCCCAGGTCTTACTAAAGGTTCTCCGACTCTGGCCGAAGACTTTGAGCACCAGATTTACCTTCAGCTCGACGTGAGTTTTCCATGTCAACTTCGTATCTATAGTTGCCCCTAGATATTTATTTCCGCGGAAAGACTTGATTTTAAGCACTGATAGGTTGTGAACTTTCAATTTACTTTTCCGCGTAAACAAAACTCGGGGTGTCTGGGTGGAATTGATAGAATAAACTACTTCAAAATTAATGATCGCTAGAAAGCACCGAACAAAACTGAAAAGCTCCCAAGGAGTACATTGGTCTCTGTACCGCAGGGATAAAAAACCTTTTCTTTCTCATATCTGCTTAAGTGCCTCAGAATGTACGTTAGATGAATACTACTAACAGTTTACAATGAAAATCACGGATGTTTTACATTCAACTAAGCTCCAAATATTGTAAATAGTATCAACCCTACCGATTGTAAACGAAAATTTAGCCCAGCGGCTAGCGTTGCTGTTATTGCACATCGAAGTTGCGGGTTCGATCCTACTGAGGTCTAGAAAAGAAGTCTTATGAAGAGATGTGGTGATCTCAGAAATAGCGGCTATAACTTTTTCCTAAAAACAAATCGTGGTATCAATAATACTGTTACTTTTATTTACCTTACCTTCTTCTTCTTCTTAATTGGCGCTGTAACCGCCTAAGCGAGTTTGGCCGAGTCCAAAACAGCACGCCAGTCATTTCTCTTCTGTGCTAACTGACGCCAATTGAAAATGCCAAGTGAAGCCAAGTCCTTCTCCACCTGGTCTTTCCAACGCAGAGGAGGCCTTCCTCTTCCTCTGTTACCAGCATCGCGGCCCGCGTTGAATATTTTCAGAGCAGGAGCGTTTCTATCCGAACGGCATGGCCAAGCCAGCGGAGCCGCTGAATTTTAATTCGCTGCACTATGTCTATATCGTTGTAAAGCTCATACAGCTCATCGTTAAATCGTCTGCGATATTCGCCATCACCAACGCGTAAAGGTCCGTAAATCTTTCGCAGAATCTTTCTCTCGAAAACTCCAAGAGCCGCCTCATCAGATGCTTTCATTGTCCATGCTTCCGCGCCATACACCAGCACAGGCATGATGAGTGACTTATAGAGTGTGATCTTTGTACGACGAGAGAGGACTTTACTTCTCAATTGCCTACTCAGCCCAAAGTAGCACTTGTTGGCAAGAGTGATTCTCCGTTGGATTTCAAGGCTGACATTATTATTGGTGTTAATGCTGGTTCCCAAATAAACGAAGTCGTCTACTTTTTCAAACTTGTAACTGTCAACAGTGACGTGGGTGCCAAGACGCGTATGCTCTGACTGTGTGTGTGATGACAGGAGATACTTCGTTTTGTCCTCGTTCACCACCAGACCCATTCGCTTTGCTTCGCTATCCAATCCCGAGAAGGCAGAACAGACGTAGCGTTTGTTTTTACCGATAATATCGATGTCGTCGGCATACGCCAGCAATTGTACGCTCTTATAAAGTATTGTGCCTGAGCGGTTCAGTTCTGCGGCTCTTATTATCTTCTCCAACATAAGATTAAAGAAATCACACGAAAGGGAGTCCCCTTGTCTGAAACCTCGTTTGGTATCAAACGGCTCGGAGAGGTCCTTCCCTATTCTGACGGAGCTGGTGGTATTGCTCAACGTCATTTTACACAGCCGTATTAGTTTCGCGGGGATACCAAATTCAGACATCGCGGCATAAAGGCAACTTCTCTTCGTGCTGTCGAAAGCGGCTTTGAAATCGACAAATAGATGGTGTGTGTCGATCCTATTCTCGCGGGTCTTTTCCAAGATTTGGCGTATTGTGAATACCTGATCTATGGTGGATTTTCCAGGCCTAAAGCCACACTGATAAGGTCCAATCAGCTCGTTGACGGTGGGCTTCAGTCTTTCGCACAATACGCTCGATAAGACCTTGTAACCTATGCTTAGAAGGCTAATTCCGCGGTAGTTGGCGCGTATGACGGGGTCGCCTTTCTTGTGGATTGGGCAGAGCACAGTCGTCGGCCATGCGTTCATCTTACCATATTCTGCATACGAGCTGATGCATGCACCTCATCAGCTCCTCGCCGCCGTACTTGAATAGCTCGGCTGGCAGGCCGTCAGCTCCAGCAGCTTTGTTGTTTTTCAGCCGCGTAATCGCTATTCGTACCTCGTCATAGTCAGGCGGTGGGACAGCTACTCCATCATCATCGACTGGGGACTCGGGTTCGTCTTCCTCACTACTTTCAGCGCTGCTACCATTCAGTAGGTTATAAAAGTGTTCCCTCCACAATTTAAGTATATTCTGGACATCGGTCACTAGGTCGCCATTGTTGTTCTTACAGGAGTTCGCCCCGGTCTTGAAACCTTCCGTAAGTCGCCTAACCCTCTGGTAGAATTTTCGGGCGTCCTTCCTGTCGGCCAGCATCTCAAGCTCTTCGCACTCACGTATTTCGGCCTCTCTCTTCTTATTGCGGCAAATAAGTCTCGCTTCCTTCTTCAGTTCCCTATAACGGTCCCACATGGCTCGAGTTGCGCCCGATCGCAGCGTGGCCCTGTAAGCGGCATCTTTTTTCTCTGCGGCTTCTTGACATTCCTCATCGTACCAGTTGTTCTTTCGGGCTCGCTGAAATCCAACTACTTCTTCGGCGGCGGTACTTAATGATCGGGAAATGTGGTTCCACTGCTCGCGTACGTTGGATTGTTGAAGAGTGCTCTCAGAGAGCAGGTGTGTTAGTCGAGTGGCGAATAAATTGGCAGTCTGTTGTGATTGCAGCTTTTCGACGTTAAGCTTTCCTTGCATTGTTGGGCGCACATTTTTTGCTGCACAGAGGCGGGTGCGTATCTTGGCTACAACAAGATAGTGGTCCGAGTCGATGTTTGGCCCTCGGAGTGTACGTACGTCCAAAACGCTTGAAGCATGCCTTCCGTCTATCACAACATGATCGATTTGGTTTCTCGTTTTTCGATCTGGAGACAGCCATGTAGCTTGGTGGATGTTCTTATGCTGGGACCTAGTACTACATATTACCATATTTCGGGCCCCGGCGAAGTCGATCAGCCTCAGTCCGTTATCGGACGTTTCGTCGTGGAGGCTGAATTTTCCGACGGTGGCGCCAAAGATCCCTTCCTTGCCCACCTTGGCATTAAAATCGCCCAGCACGATTTTGACATCGTGTCGGGGGCAGCGCTCATATGTACGTTCCAAGCGCTCATAGAAGAGATCCTTGGACGCCTCATCCTTCTCTTCCGTCGGGGCATGGGCGCAGATGAGCGAGATGTTGAAGAATCTAGCTTCGATGCGGATTGTGGCTAGACGTTCGTCCACCGGGGTGAACGCCAGTACTCGGCGACGGAGTCTCTCTCCTACCACGAATCCAACACCGAATATGCGCTCCTTTACGTGGCAACTGTAGTAGACGTCGCAAGGCTTCACGCTTACTTTACCTTGCCCCGTCCATCGCATTTCTTGGATGGCGGTGATGTCAGCCTTTGTCTTCCCGAGGACATCAACCAGCCGGTCAGAGGCACCTTCCCCATTAAGGGTCCGGATATTCCAGGTGCATACCTTTAAATCATAGTCCTTTATACGTTTGCCGTGGTCGTCATCAGAAAAAGGCTGTTTTTTTTCTTTTCATTGGGCGGGGTTTTAACGTGGCGGGACCCAAACCCAGCGCACGCGAAGTTTTACGCCTTCTCACTTTAGCTCGCTCCCAAACGGGTGTTTGGTTGCTACCCAGAGGATACGTGGATATAAATATCCGGACGTTGTGAGCTGCGATTTGAACCGTACGCACAAGAATCGCTTCTGGCCACTCCCAGGTGAATGGCAGTCAAAAGTTTTCCACTTCTGCGCACGGAACCATCCTCCATTTACCTTACCATTGGAATCATATTTTCGACTTGAGAACGAGTTCTTCGAGGCGCTTAACTAACTCCTTATATTTATGTATAAGAGCTCTTCTGATGACAAATCACTTTCAATTAGGGCTGATGATACAGATAGCTTGTTTTCGTGACCCGAGTCATAAAGATCTCCAGGTGGAAAATAGTAGTGTGGCAGCTAAAGTCCGTGCTCAGGCCAAAAAAAATTATCTTTGAAATGTCGACGACAGAGTTAGATTTCCTGTTCGCTACGGAAGAACAAATGACAGATACAATCTCTCAGTTTGAGCGCTATGTAGCGGAATAGCAAATAGATTGGACCCACTTGTATGGTGGCGCTCTAGAG